TGTGTAGCCAGCAGCCGCAGTGAATGGCCGCCCAGAAGCTGGCGACGATCTGCCTTGCCGGGGAAGAGCGCAATGATGGTGCCAACTTGGGCCAGTGAAGCAACGTCCTCCACAACTAGACTGAAGAACAAAACGACAGCAACTTGTCTGTTCCCCTTCCCCCAATTCCCCAATAAAAATCTTTAAAAAAATTTTTTTTATGTTTCAATTACAGCTGACATTCAGTATCATATATGTTTTTTAAATATTTAATTTTTTTTAAGAGCAGTTTTAGGTTCACAGCAAAACTGAAGGGAAGGTGCAGAGATTTCCCATGTACCGTACCCCTGCCCCGACACATGCATCACCTCCTCCATTATCAGCGTCCCCCCCACCATCAGGGTGGCACATTTGTTACAATCCATGACACAGCATTGTTACCCAAAGTCTGCAGTTTACCTTTGGGTTCACTCTCGGTGTTGTGCATTCTATGGGTTTGCCTTGTGAATTTTTAGTCCTTATGAATTGGCATGGCTCGAGGGCACTTCCTGCTCTGTTACTTAAAGCATGACAAGGACCTAGCCCAGGACAAGGTACAAGGTAGGCACCCAATACGTGTGTGTCGTGCCGTCTACAAGGGAGAAAGGGCCTCAATACTTGCCACTCAGCGTGGTTGCAGACCTGGCCCCACCTGGGAGAGATGCTGAAGCCCTGCTGGACAGCGCCTGAGTTTAAACAAGGTTCCCCATGTCATTCAGTGCACGCAAAATTCTGAGGAGCGCTGGCAGGGCCCCAACCCTGTTCCCTTCTCTCTGTCATCACAGAGAGAACCTTTTGTGAACTAACGCTTAAGAGCTTGAAAATTGATCTCCAGGGCTTGAAATTAGACTCCCCGAAGGCTTGTCTGCTGGAAGAGGACTCACCTGGGTTTTCTAACCTCTTCCTGAATTAACTCCAGAAGTAATTCTCTGTGGCATTTCAGCTACTTGTCTCTTCAGAGCTCTTTTCTCTCTTCTGGGGCTTGGCCAAAAAAAAAAAAAAAAAAAAAGAAAAGAAAAGCCATCCCAGCTTGGCACATCTCACATTTCTTAATAGGAAGTTTTCATTCCTGTTTACTAGTCAGGAGAATTTTTCATCCTTTTGAGCACTTCGCCTTTCCTGTTCCCTGTCCTTTGAAGGCAGATTTCATTGAATTATAATTTGCATCTGATACTTGCGCTCATAAATTAGCCAGGAAATGTTGCTTTTCTGTGTTATTATAGCTGTCTTCCTGCGCACTTAACAAATGTTTCTGATTCATTTAAAAAGATATCTTGTTCTCTGTTTAGATCTTACACGAGTATTCCAAAATAAATTACATCATAGTGTTTTAAAACAGACATAAAATGATCTATCCTTAGGAATACTTTCAGATCTATCTGCTACATAGTTGGACAGAATGTTGATTTCATTACTTCTTAAATGCGTAACTTTTTCACCTTTGCTATAGAAAAGAACAGCTGCTACCTTACCTTGGTTGTAAAAAGTGTCGTGTTTCCTCTTACACATGCTTGGAATGTGACAGGTAAATAGTAAAAGCACGTAGATAAATCCTAGAGCCAGTTTGTAGAGAAGACAACAAATGCCATACAATACTGCAGTGATACAACTTAAAATCTCTAAGAAATGGTTGTCTTCTTCCTCTAAAAAAGTCATATTACATAGAAAGGAACATGACCTTTAAAGTCAGCAGCTTTTATCTGGTGTAAGTTTGTGACTTGCAGATGCTAACGGAGCCAGCTAGAAATATTACACCTATATAAATATATGACTATATATTTACACATTTAAGTATATACCCACAACATTTTGTCTTCACTCTTGATTTCCATGTCTGCTAGTGCGTTGCAAATACCTCTGGATGCCCCTCTGTGCTCTTCTGTCTGATTGTACGAAGCTATTTTAATTCTATGTTATGTCTTTTGTAACGTCACAAATTACATAGCATTATTATTCATTTATACCATCAGAATTTGTTTTGATTTAGCCATACCTTTATAATTTATTCTCTGTTCCTTCTTCGCAGATCTTCCTTCATGGGATAATTACCTTTCCTCTTGAAGTACATACAACAGGTCCTCCAATAACATTGTTTGTTCAGTGTCGTTTCATTATAACGTTGATGAGATGCTGTAGGAACTTAACTCTTGTTTTATCAGTTAGCCTATGGTAAAATTGGTTTTGTTATACATCATTTTGCTTAAAGTCACAGAACCTATTGATGATAACTGCATATCCTTGTTTAGAAAAGCTTTTCTACTGAGGGTCTTCTGTTGATATAACCACATTTTGCTCTTCTGAAAAATGTTCTTATTTTAACAAATAGAGAGTATTGTTGGTTATTCAAATCTAAAATGCCAGATACTTTCTCTCAGTAATTTGAAGATTTTAGTTTGTCACTTGGCTCCTACTTCTGTGAAGTAGTTATCTGATGGTGTAATTGCCAGCCAGTCCTTTTCTCTGACTGCATTTACAGTTTCTCTTTGTCTTTGGTGTTGTAGGGTATCATTATGTGTATAGGTATGGGTTTTTAAAACAATCACCTGCTTGGGATTTCTTGGTCTTCCTGAATTGAAATATTTATGTCTCTTATTAATTTTAGATAGTTCCTGGTGCTGTCTCTTTCAATATTGTCTCTACCCAATTCCCTCTATCACTTTGATCAAATAAATGTATGTTTGACTATTTCATTCTATCTTTCATGTCTCTTAATGTCTCTTGTTCATATTTCTCATCCTTTTGTTTCTCTGTGCTCCATTCTTAGTAATTTTCAGTTCTTCCCCCAGTTCTCTAAACCTCTCTTCAGCTTTGTCTAAATTGCTGCTTATTGATTGTTATGTATTGCATATTGAGTTTTAAAATGTTAATTGTTATATTTTTTTCATTTCTAAATGTTCTTTTGGTTCTTCTTCAAAAGTGGCCATTTTCATAGTCTCTTGTTCCTTACTCATGTTTTCCGTCCCCTCTTTATTTTATTTTTTAAAATGATTTAAACATACTTTAAAAAGGGTATTCCATAATTCCAATTTCTGAAGTCTTTATAGATTTGATACTATTTGTGTGGGATTTTTTTTGGGGGGGTTTCTCTTAACTGTTTTTCATACTGCCTTATTTCCTTGCATGTTTTGTAATTTTTAATTTCGCACTTGCACTTGTATTTGTTGGAACTCTGGCTGCAGGAACACTTTGATGCCTGGCTCGAGAGTATGTTCTTCTGGAGATGATTTATGTGAGCTTCTGATAGGTATTGGAGACTTGGTCTACTTTAAATTACGATTCTAGTTTTTAGGACCCTACAAGTAGTATAGATTCCAATCTTTGGGAGATTTTTTTTTTTTTTGGGTAAAATATCTGCACAAAATCCAAGTTGAGACAGACACTTTTACTTGCTGTCCTCTGAGGTGGATATTTTTCTTCCTAATTCAGGCTTTCCCACTTTTAGGAGATGGTCTTCAGTTGTGTTCTTTACCTGATCCATTGTCCCTCTAGGTTATCTGGTGACTCCAGTGCTCGATGACCTCCCCAGTCCTGCTTTGCTCCTATACTCAGCACAAGTACCCTGTTGTTTTGTGGGCTTAGTCATGTCAGAGGATATTTTTGAACACTTATTAAGCATAATTGTTATGAAGTAGTAAGGCTGTGAGGTCTCTAGTGTGCCCTATTGCCAGGAATAGCATAGAAATAATACACTTGTAAAAATTAAGGGTGAATCCAATATTATCCCTATACTATTTCATACACTCTTATTCTGATACACTGGTTGGATAAGGAGAGGAGGGTATTGTTACAGGTCGTGATAGTGGCTCAGTCTCCAGCCTGCACTGTAGTGGATGGCACCCCATGCCCTAGACCTTCATCAGGGGTTGGGCCACCACATGTCCTGCCTCTCTACAGAGTGTATTTGAATTACAGGTGGAGACACCTAAACCACTTATAGGATAATGACTGTTGTCACAAGGATAAAGAACACGGAAGTCTGAACAGATAAGATGCTTTGGGCTCATATCAGAACTTGCTCCTCAGATACCACTCATTCATTCATTCATTGAACATATGTTTATTGAGCTCTTTATGTAAGGGAAACAGATCAACAGTCCCTGTGTTCACAAAGCTCACAGGGTAGTGAGCAGACAGTAGCATCCTAGGGAGAGGCACTGACCCAGCTTCAGAGTATTGAGGAGGGAGAGGGTATCCTTGCTGCGTCTGCAGGACCAGTGGGCATCATCCAGGTGGAGAGCCAGGGAAGGGTATCGCAGGCTGAGGGACAAGAATGTGCCAAGTGACTGAGCCAGAAAGAATGTGGGTTCGGGGGACTGCAGGGAGCTCATTTGGCCGGAGCATAGTTGAGAAGGGGTGGGGGGAGGGTGGAGCAGGAAGTGATGAGGGCTGAGCCTAGAGGCAGCCTGAGGCCTGCCTGTGGAAGGCCTCCTAACTAGGAAACTGTTAAGTTCTCCTACCTGGGGAGTGAATGATGCTGTCAGAGTTGTCGTGTTCATTTCTCTCAAGAGCCAGCTCTTACAGAAGAGAAAGAAGTTGGGCTTGGGAGTCAAGGCAGGGTCATATGTTTAGATTTCAGCTCCCTCTTAGTCACGCTGATCATGTAATTGATTTAGTTCCCTTCTCTGAACTCCTCTCTCTCATGTGATGAATGAAAGAGAAGGGACTAGACAGCCATCTAAGGCCTCCTCCATTGCCAGCATTCTGTGGTGGTGTTAGAAAGTCAGAGAATAAGAAAACGCCAGTGTGTACATACACACACGAGCGTAAGTAAACGTGAGGTTTAAATGTATGAATATTTGCACATATTACCCTGACAGTAATTCTATCAGTTTGGCTCCCAATGAGCTGTGTCACGCCTAACTCTGGATGGTGGATATTGACAGGGAACAGATACTTGTTGAAAGAGTAAATTTTGTATCTGAAATGTGAGCGGTATGACTTGCGTTGCCTTGCAGCTCACTTAGCTTTGACTTGCTTTGCAGATGAGCTCTCTCCGGAACAGCACAATCTTTCCTCATCCTCCGTGGAGCTCACGCTGACACATAGCACCGTGCCCAGCATTGCACATGTGGCCTTAACAGAAACTGCTCCAGGGTCCCAGCAAAGCAGTTCTCTCCGCATCCTGTCATCTCCCTCTGCCACTACTTTTCATACAGCCTTTTTTAACCAAGGAAAACGGACCCGAAGTACAGCGGATCACAGCATCTTTGTGGCAAATGACATGGCAGTGACCAGCAATGAGGAGGTCATCAATGAGGATGAAATGGATAACTTTTTGCCAGAAACTCACTGGACCACCTCCCGCCTGTTGTCTCCGATACAATATTTCACAGCCAGCCCACCGGGGCTGCCCAGAGAAACGTTAGACTCCATGCTGATTCCATCGTCACCCATCATTTCTTCACCAGATGAAGAAGTGACAGCAGCCTGGCAAGACACAATGCAACAACCAACAACGTGTGCTGAATCCCCCAGTCATTTCAGTGCTTTTCGGTCAGCTTTTCTGACTTCCGAGGGCATAATTTCAACTCCTAGTAGGACTTTGGTGCTTTATTCTACTGACCCTTATGGGCACTTACCAAGCAGGACTTGGCCGGAGATCGTGGCTTCAGGAACAAAGGGTGTAGACATCCTCCCTTTCAGCTCATTGTTTTCAGTGTCTCAGCCGTCAGGCGATGGCATCACTCCGCAGCCAGTTCCCCGCTCTGGAGAGGTCTCAGCTTCTCCAGAGGAGGTTCTGGTGACAGGTACAGAGAGCTATCTGGATGCGACCACTGTTTTGAGTCAGAGTCTACAAGAAACCATCTCTCCAAGAATGTCCCTTACCGCAATTCCATCACAGACCATCCTTGATTTTAGAATCAGCAGCAGCAGCAGCAGCAGCACAAACTCGGTTTTGTTTTCAACTTCTCTTGAGTTTATGTCCTTTTCTGCTCAATCAACCGATGTGTCATATAACCCCTTTCTTCCCAGCACCTCTACTGCAGTGTTAGAATTGCCTGGCAGTTCTGTGGTCCCCAGTTACGTGGATGACACCCCCACCGGGAGCCCAGCATTTTCCTTCAGACCATACACGTGGTGCGTGTCCTGCACTATGACGTCTCCTCGGCAGCACGTTCTGTCAGCGAGCCTCGTGGAGAAAGATGTGGGGTCGGGGGGTGGCGCCGAGACCCTGTCCATGACCCTGTTGGAAGCAAGTAGCATCTCCCCACTAAGCAGCCTGGTGGCAGACTTCTCTGAATTTGAGGAAGATCCCCAAGAATTTAATACACTTTTCCCCTCCAGACCGATAGTTCCACTTTCCTCTCGCTCTGTGGGAATCTCACCCACGAGCACTGGTATTTCAGCCGAGGTGGCCACGACAAGTGTCATGACCACACAAGTGCATCCTTCCCACGGCCACCTCCCCGTACCCGTGTCACTCGATACTGCTGCTTTTGGCTCCTTCTCTGTCGTTGAAACTCAAGTCACGCCATCCAGCGTAACAGCTGTGTTCCCCTGGGTCATCACCAGTGTCCTGGACTCATCTTTCTCTGTCACAGCAGAGGAAAGCACACCAACGCTTGCTGTCAGAGACCCAGCTCCTTTTACGTCAGCTAAATATAATTTGGATCCTTCAGTAGGTTCTTCCCTTTTCCCTGACCGACAATCTGCCAGTTTTTCCCAACAGGAAACGGGAAGTATTTTGGAGTTTGCATCCAGTTTTTTCTCAACCCCACCGCTGGAATTCAGCACGGCCGTCCCTTCATCTTCAGAAGTCCTTGCTGCTTCGTCTCCAATGGCGGGTGATTTGTCAGCCGTCCTTTCTCAGGCTTTCTCGACCTTGCTCGAGACATTTACATTGTCCGACTCCATCAATTTGCAGTCGCCTCCACTTTCTGTTACTAATTCCACAAACCTTGACTTCTCTCAGCTCTGGCCAAGTTCCGGTCTTCTTTTCAGTACGTTCACTTTTCAACCCGGTGACTCTGCAGTGTCACTATCATCGCGTTTCCCCTCTGATGCCCTCCAGTTCTCTGAATCATCAACAGTTTCACTGACAGATTCTGAAGCTCATTTTACCTCAGCTTTCACTGAAACTACCTCCTCTTTTGAGTTTTCACTCATGTCCCATGAATCTGCAGTCACCACACTGGTGCCCTCCAGTTCTGATCCCATCCTTGACATTTTGACGGCCGGAACTCACTTAACGTCACTCTTGACTGCTTTTCATACACCTGTTTTAACGGAATCACCTCCCTTTTCAACTCCAGTACCTTCCGATGACGATATCAGTGCTATAGATGATCACACATCTGTCTTATCATCTTTCTCCAAAGTTATTCCTACCACCACAGCATTGGTCACCACTGTGTCCCCGTCATCAACATCCTCATTTATTTCTGAAGCGATCCCCTCACCTGTACCTACAGAGCCATCGTCTGTGGGCCCATCATTCACACCCACAGATTTACCGCTGAACACCTCTGCTGACCTGAGCATGTCTAATACCACTGCTGCCCCTGATAATACTGATGACACCACGCTGAACAGCAGACCTGCGAGTCAGAATCCCCAAGAGAGCAGCATGGCTCTTCCCCCGCCATCCTTTCATCCTGTGACCACCCCGACTCCGGAAGCGATGGTTGACACTCCAGCGCTGGTCACCACCAAGCCGCCATATGTGTGTGATATTACAGTTCCTGATGCCTATTTGATCACAACTGGTAAGGCCCTGCTTCAAGTCACCTCTGCTGGTTGGGGTCATCTTTCTAAGGTGCTGCATGAAGTGCTTATGGGATGCACAGCATTTTGCCAAAGAAGTAACCTGGGTTAGTAATCCTCCTTTAGTGGTCACCTGTGTGTTCACCAGACAGTTACTTAGCCTCTCAACACCTCACCTTCCTCCACTATTAGACAATGATAGTGGGTTATTGTAAAGATTTAAATGCGTGACTGCATATGAAATACTTAACCCTGGCTCATAAGGAGTATCCACATAATGTTACACAGTAGTTAGTAGTAGCAGCAATAAGAACAAATAAAAGATTTAAACAGACCTCAGAAGCTTTTGCTAGGATATTGGAACTCGTAACCCAGTGGATGCTTAGAAGATATGGTTAAAACAAACACCTTCACATTTAGTTCAAGCATTTAGTTGGGCAAATGTGTAAGGGCAACCTTTGCAAATTTCTTACTAATTTACTACTCTTTTCCTTAAAAGGAGGGGACACTTTGTTCTTATATACTTCTGTAAATGTCACTTGGATCCTGGGGAAAGGAACATGGAGTGACCGAATATCCTCTGAATTCCCTTGCAGCTAGCTGCCCAGCTGCTTTCGTCCCATGAAACCGCAGTACATTTGCTGCCATGTCTGGACAGGTCCAGTGACTGGCCTGCTTGATCAGGCTCTCAACTTGTTCTTCATGAGAAATGACAGGGTGTGCATGAGGTCTTGTGACCTGTTCATCTATATTAACACTTAATGTACAGCGTACTACAGATGAGCAGCCTGGCCCTGGGTGTTGATGTTGTTGGAGATGAGGGATAGAAATTAAGAAGCAGGAAGATGATGGCAGGGGAGGTAGAGGAAGAGTAGAGTGGACAAGGAAGGAGAGGACAGGGATAGGGGGAGAGGAAGGAGGAGGGAAACACACTTGGTCTTTGTTCTCCATGCCAACGGAGGTGGGCATGCGTCTTCTCACCATGGCAATGCTACCACCCTCTGAGAGGGGTTGGAGCAGCTGCAGCCTTTCTCCTAACTCTCCCCTCCCCCAATGACATACCATTGGTTAATTCATGTGACAAGTAATTACTGATCGCTTAGTATGTGGGAGGTGCTTTTAGAGGCTTTAAAGGATATAGAGATGAATGACATGGTTCCATTCCTCAAGCTTGGGGTCTAGTAGGGCAGCTGCTGAGCCATGTTTTCTTGGTAGCTGTGATGAGAATGGTTGAAGCAGAGTTCTCCAAGAGTGACTATTTGTGATGTTCAGGGATGGGTTTGGAAGGATGTGATTGGAGGTCACATTAAAGGACAAGTGAAAGGCTGTCATCTGAAGATGGAGTGTCCCCCAGGTAGAGGGTGCACACCCAGGTGGGGAGATCTGACAGCCCAGGGCCATTCAGCTTGGCTGGTAATGAGACTGTAATGAGAGGAGGTAATTATGCAGGAAATGAGGATGCGACAGAGTGGTGAACTTTCATCTGTGGGATTACAGTAGTCCAGAGGAGAGAGAAAAAGTTTTCATAGACATGACGCTTCTCTTCCTTCTTGCAAAATTGTTACACACTAGCTACAAAGTGGTCAGTGACAAGAAGCTTCTTAAAACTACTGAAAGCTTCTTTATCTCTGGGATTCTGTGACATTTATGATACTTATAGTTATAATGTGTCTTCTAGAATTTTTCTATAGATTAGAAACGATTTTAGAAGTATCTCTAAGAATATCATAGCATGGATTAACTTTCACATAGGGCATACTTTTAATGAATTTGGTGCCCTTTGTTAGGGATCTATGCATTTTCCATAGCTTTTGGGGGTAAAATTCACCCGTTGTAAATGTACACTTCAACAGTTTTAGTAAATGTGCAGAGCTGTGCCTAAGTATCCTTCCTGTTACGTGGTATTTTTAAGTGGAGATGAGTGCCATCTTTTGCTCTCAGTGATATTTTTGACCCAGAGGAAGTATCACCTCATTTAGATTTGACCTTGGTTTTTTTTTTGTTGTTGTTGTTGTTGTTTTTTTTTTTTTTTAGTAATTATATATCAGAGAGAGAGGGGGTTAGGGTGGTTCTTTGTCCTCTGAAAGTACGGAGCTCTGTACTAAAAGAGCACTCTCCGCTGATCCCTGGTGTGCTCTGAGCATGACACTGACCATGTGTATTCAGTATAGAGTAAGGCTACACTTCCCATCCAGGGCCGGCCTGACCCAGGGCCTCCTCAGGAGGCCTCTCTCACTTCTCTTGACTCTGCGGAAACTGTAGATATTTGGAGAAATTGTAAAATATTTGTGGATGATCTTTTCCCCCTCAGAGACTCTTGGAGTCCTATCCCCATGTTGCAGTTTTAGATCTTACTCTGATTAATTCAAGAAGGTGGAGGTTATGGTGGTGGGTCCTACGGGCTGTTAAAATAATACAGCAGGTCTTCAAATAATGTCGTTTCGTTAGAGCATTTATGAGATGCCAAAGGAACTGAACTCTCGTAAAAAATGAGAGCTCTGTGCTCTCTGTCCCCTGGCTGGGCCACAGCCTTTGCTCCCTGGTCTCACCCGCCGGGGCAGAGTTAAGGGTTTTCTTAGCACATTTGGCTGATGCTGTGCATGGTTGACTTGGTAATTTCAAGATCCACTGCTGTTCCTCTGGTCTTTCTTAGTTGGGTCCTAATTTTTAAAAAATGGTTACTGGAGCTGCTGGGATGCTTTGGCATAGCACAGGCTCTGCCCTGGCATCCAGAAGTGTGATGCCTACGTTATTCACAATGCTCCTGACTGCCTTTGGTGTTGGCTTTGATTTGCAGTGCTGGCCAGAAGAGCCGTGCAGGAGTACATCATTACGTCCATCAAGGAGGTGTTGAGGATTCACTTCAACCGCGTGGTGGAGCTCAAGGTAGGTCCCTGCGGCGGGGGAGTCTGACCTGGGAGCCCGGGGTGAGGGCAAATGATAATGGCTGTGGCACAATCTCATTCCTCTTTTCCATCTCTTCCCCTGGTGATCACCTGCTCATCCTCTGACTCTCTACTCAATCATCACATCATCAGGGAAGCCCTTCCTGACCCCAGTCCAGGTTTAGTCCGTCAGAGAGATGTGTTGGCAGAGGTGGAGCAAAAGTGCTCCAAGGCCAGAGTTGGGGTGATGACCCTAACGATTTTGCTTCTCTTGATTTACATGAAAGGATTTGGGTTACCCGAGTTTAAGATTTTAGAGTGAGTGCATATGCATGCTTCTGTACATTCAGGGAGATGGAGGTTTCCTTATGTTTTATGGTGGACATCGGGCTGGTACCTCTCTTCCCAATGAGCTCAGAAGCCATGCGGTAGACCCACACCATCCTAGGTGGACCAACGAGCCACATAGAATGGGGCTTGTCTACACTGAGATGGGCTGTCAACTTCAAAAGACACCCCAGATTTTGGAAACTTGGTGAAAAAAGGAATGTAAAATATCTCACTAATAATTTTTTTGTGTTGACTACTTGTTGAAATGATATGTCAGATATATTGGGTTAAGTAAAATGTCTTTAAAATTAGTTTCACTTGTTTCTTATGTTTTTTTTTAATGTGGCTACTAGAAATTTTATAATTGCATACGTGGGTTACATATTTCTTTTGGACGGCGCTGCTCAATAGAATAAGGGTTTCTTTTTATGTGGGTTAAAAAGAGCAAACGCCTAAAAGAGCAAACACTTGAATTCTCCATAACTTCTATTTCAGTTTGTATCATTGGCTGGTCTTCTTTCTCGCTGTCCTTGTTCTTGTAATGTTGTGCTGTTTTTGAGAAGAAGAGCTAATGTATAAAAGTAATTACTGAAACAAAATTCTGACGGTCTGCGAAGCCCTAACCCCTTCAGTTAAAACTAGCTATTTTTTACCTTATTTACTTTATTATTTTTCTGCTCAATGCAACTTCTTATGCATTTGGATTATGATACTTTGATTTGATAATTAGGTAATTCTTGTCTTTTTGTCTTTTTTTTATTTACATAGGTTTATGAACTATTTGCTGATTTCACTTTTCTGGTAACATCTGGTCCTTTCGTTTACACGGCAATATCCGTCATAAATGTACTTATAAATAGTAAACTTGTACGTGACCAAACTCCTTTAATCTTGGCTGTGAAACCTTCCTTCCTTGTGCCGGAGTCCAGGTTCCAAGTTCAAACAGGTGAGAAAACTGAGCATAGTTGTTTTGACTTGTAAATAGAATTTCACTTCATTTTTTTTTTTTTAGCTGTGCCATCCTGCCACCTGTTGGCAGCTCAGCTGCAGCTCAGCTTCGGCTGGGCATCGAACCGCTGTTGCTCAGAGCTCAAACTCTGGAGCGAGCTCTTAACCACTGAGCCACTCGGCCGGCCCCTCACTTCATTTTTTATGTTTTTAAAAAATTGGGGAAGGATTATTTTTAAAATTCATTATTTAAATTTTCAAAAAACTTCATAATAATGGAAAATTTCCAAGAGTTTAATGAGCCCCCATCTACCCATCGTGTGGTTTCAACAATTTTCAACTCCTAGTCAGTCTTGTTAGATCCACACCCTCATCTATATCCCCTGTGACATGGCTTCATATCATTTCATTCATAAATATTTCAGCCTATGTCTTTAAAAGATAAGGATTATTAAACATACACACACACATATATACATACACACAGTATAGATACACACATATACACGTATACATATATACATATATTGGGTTGTCGGAAAAGTCATGACGCATTTTTGCGACAAAAACCAGAAAAATACGTCATGACTTTTCCGACAATCCATTACATCTATCAATATCATTATCATATGGCCTAAAATTCATAGCAATTCCTTAATATTTAACTTTTTATTATGGACATCTTAAAAAATATACGAAGTAGAGAGAATAACATACTAAGCTCACATGTGCCCATCGCGAAGCTTAAAAAATTATCAAAATTTTTCCAATTTTGTTTCATTTATCCTCCACATACTTTTTTTTGAGGAAGCTAGCGTGTTTTAAAGCAGTCCCAGATATCATGTCATTTCACCCATAAATACTTAAGAATTCATCCCTAATGCATTCATATACAGAGAGTGCCAAAAAAGATGTATACACATTTCAAGAAAGCAAAACTGTATTAAAATTGTAATACTCAATATATACTGATAACAAAAGATGAATACAAGTCATGTTTAACTTCTGCAATTACATGAGGTGCTCAAAATGGTTACCATCAGCGTCCGGACACTCCTGATGACGGTGAACTACTGCTTGAGCAACGCTGACCAAAGTGTCCACTTGTATACATTTTTTTGGCACCCCTGGCATAGTCGAAATGTTTCGGGTCAGTTGCATCTTCTGGTGCGCCGATTGTTACCTTAGGTATTTTCCCATTTAAAAGTGATAATGTCACCTTCACGTTGCTTGTTTCTGTGATACACACATATAAATAATACATCATAGAACTTAACCCTGTGCTGTGGATGAATTGGTGGGTTTAGGTACTATTCCCCGCTCCTCATTCCTTGAAACTAAAGAAACGCCTGGTTCATGGATTCTGATCGCTGTCCTTTCAGTCCTTCAGTTTGTGCCTCAGAGTGTGGATACTGGCTTCTGCAACTTCACCCAGCGAATTGAGAAAGGCCTGATGATTGCCCTCTCTGAAGTGAGAAAACACCAGCAGGGCACCTATAACCTCACGGTGCAGGTGAGAATAGCACCCAATGCAGAACACAATGCTTTCGCCTTTCAAGAGGAACCAGTTTCATAGTGCTCCATTGTGGATGCACCTAACTCTTACTAATTGATTCAGTTCACATGGATCAGGGTTGATCTCTTTCCATGGCATTGTAGTGGGATAACCAGGGAGCTCAGATAGGGTGAGCTGAGGAGAGGTGAGCATAAGCAGGAAAATCAAGAATGGTCTGAAAAGGAACATTATCAACTTATAGTCTATCGAGTGGGGACACTGCCTAAATATACTAGTGTTTCATATTATGGAATACCATGGAAGGCAGTGCTTCACGCTAAAAACAGAGAATATAGCTACGAATCAGAAAACACGCTTTGTATGCTTTGTATGGACACTGCTGTTTTCATATTTCTTCGATATTTTTTTCTCCATATTCTTCTCTCTTTTATGGAATTCATATTAAATAGATTTTGGTGCTCGTGGATTCACCTTTCATATTTCTATTTTTTTCTTATGTTTTCCATCTCTTTTTTTATAATTCCCTATTTTTACAGATTTTCTAAACTTTGTCCTCCAAGTCATTAATTTAGTCTTCACCTATGTTTATTATGTTGTTTAATCCCTCTATCGAATTTTCTTTTCGCCATCTTTTCTTTTCTTTTCTCATTGCTGTTTGCTCCTTTTTTTATTGCTGCCTCCTCTGAAATGATGCAGGCTTATCCAGCATGAGGATATAATATCCCTGTGAAAATCTCTGAGGACATTAGAGTTTTTAAAAAGTTGTCTTCGCTTTCCTAAGTTCTCTATCTCTCGCACCCATTGTTGTGTATCCATGTTGGTCCTTTGCTTTCGTGCTATTTGTTTTCTCTAAGTGTTTGGAGACCTTTGGTTGGTGGGTGTTAAGAATGAAGAAGCAGGTGGTTAATTTTGGCAGCTTGTGCGGCTTTCTCCTTCAGCTGTGAGGTCCGTGTCTACGTCAGCCCTGTGTCCTGACGGGAGATTCACTGGAGCGCTGGGTACCGGGCAGACGATATCAGCGGTGGCCTTCTCTCTTGGGGCAGAATGTGGTCAGAGACAGGCAGATAAGGAGGTTGTACCCTGGAATGGAGCACGTTTGTGTATTTTTTTTTTTTTTTGGCAGAGCTGCTTTTTCTTTCTTTTTCATTCCTTCTTTGTCTCTTGTGTGCTGCTTCTATCCACCTCCTTGCTTAGGGACCAAACCCGCAGTAGGTCCTCTCAGGCAGGGAGCTCCTTTTCCTCAGGGAACAGCTTTGGGTTGTTCTGGGTGGAGCTGTGGCTGCTGCTTGCACGTTGTGTTGGCCTGAGTGTGGCAGATAGAAAGGAAAGAGGAGGGAGGCAATTGACATACAGTCTTCAGTTAATTATGGCAGCCTACTGTTGACCTCCGGTCCTTGGATTGCTACTTTGGAGCCTCTCCCGGACCCCTTGGGGAGAACAGCTCTCAGCTCCACCGTAGTCTGTACCTCTGTGTGTTTTGGGTCTTGGTTCCCTCAATTCTGATTTATACCACTTTGATTCCATTTTCTCTCAGTTTTCCGGAAATTGGACATAATCTCTAGTTTTCATCCATTCTCAGTACTGCAGTGGATTTATTCCTCTTTGTTCAGCTCATTGTTATTTCATTGGAATTTGGGGGGGGAGGGACTATGGATACGGGTACTGAGTTCATCACTTCATGTAAAAACCATTTTCAATAACCTGAGAATTTAAGGTATTGCAAAAGGGAACCAGGTC